CGTAGGATTTTTAGCAGCATCCTTAGCCTCCACCTACTAAATAGTTATCACCTCCATTCACCTCCTACTAGTTGTGAGAACTATAAATGTCTCCAGACATTTAGCAAGTGTAAATATATTTGTTCATTTAGTCAACAAAGGTTTTTGTGTGCCACTCTTTGGGCTCCATCCTAGGCTCCCTAGGGGGAGGATGCGATGAAACTGCCTCCAGTTATGAACCTCTGTGTTAAAAGAAAGAACTACTATTCAAAATACATTTTCTAATACTAGATGATAAAAATGTGTAACACAGAATTATATGTCCATTATATCCAACTCAGTACATTAAAATAGAATGTATCTTGTCACAATCCCATGAAATATTTAAAACATTGATTGATGATAACTGAGCTCAGCACGATTAAAAGTGGAATATAAAAGCTAGGGGAAGAAAGCTCTAACACTAGAAATTAAAATAAGACAGGAACTCTTATAAACCAGGATAAATCAAAGAAGAAAGCAAAACCAAAATTCAGAACGTCTAGAAAAATAGCAAAATTGATTTATCAAATTTTAACTAAGGCAGTTGCTCAGAGTAAAATTCATTATATTTAATGTTTATATTACTAACCAAGATAAACTAAAAAAAAAAATCAATGAAATAGGTATTCAACTTAAGAAGTTAGAAGTGTATGGACAAGGTAAGAAAAATAGACAAGAGATCAGTAAAAAAAAAAATAAGAGATTAATGAATTAAGAAACTGAAAAACAGCAGAACTAATTAATGAATTTTCTTTTCCTTTGGGAGATTTGCTCTAAGTGAAATCCAGAAGAAAGCAGAAATAACTTGATAGACTACTAATTAGGTAATAGGAAAAGTAAAAAAAGATAGACATACAAAATAAGAATGGAAAGGGGGAAGTAAGCACAGGTTTTGGAAAGTTAAAGGGATTGGAAGAGTCCAAGAGTGTAAAGGCAGAGAGTTCAGGGACTTTTGTTTACTGATGTATCCCAACTGCCTAGGATGGAGCCCAAAGAGTGGCACACAAAAACCTTTGTTGACTAAATGAACAAATATATTTACACTTGCTAAATTATATGACACTGATAAATTTTGAGAAGACGAATTTGCAGTTGATCCTAGAAGAAATAGAAAATGTTCAGTCTCTTTATTGACAGAGCTGAAATTCTCAGGTAAATTCCACCAACACTTGAGGAACAAATAATTTTTTTATTTCTATTTTTATTTATTTTTTAAAGTTTTATTTAAATCCTAGTTAGTTAACATAGTGTTATCTTAGTTTCAGGTGTACAATATAAGTGATTCAACACTTCCATACAACACCTAGTGCTCATCACAAGAAGGGCCCTCCTTCATCCCCATCACCTATTTCACCCATCCCCCCACTCACCTCCCCTCTGGTAACCATCAGGTTGTTCTCTATAATTAAGAGTCTGTTTCTTGGTTTGTCTCTCTTTTTCCCTTTGCTCCTTTGTTTTGTTTCTTAAATTCCACATGAGTGAAATCACATGGTATTTGTATTTCTCTAACTTATTTCACTTCGCATTATACTCTCTAGCTCCATCCATGTTTTGGCAAATGGCAAGATTTCATTCTTTGAATAATAGTCCATTGTATATGTATACCACATCTCTATCTGTTCATCAATTGATGGACACAACTGCTTCCATATCTTGGCTATTGTAATAATGCTTCTATAAACATAGGGGTGCATGTATCCATTTGAATTAGTGTTTTTGTGTTCTTTGGGTAAATACCCAGTAGTGGGATTGCGGATTGTAGGGTAGTTCTATTTTTAACTTTCTGAGGGAACTCCATACTATTTTCCACAGTGGCTGTCCCAATTTGTATTTATTTAAATTCCAATTAGTTAATACACAGTGTCACATTAGTTTCAGGTATAGAATTTAGTGATTCATCACTTACATACAACACCCAGTGCTCATCACAACAAGTGCCCTCTTTAATACCCATCACCCATTTAACCCATCCTCCTACCATCTCTCCTCCATTAACCCTATTTGTTCTCTCTCGTTAAAAGTGTTTCCTGGTTTGCCTTTCTCTCCCCCCACCCTGCCATGTTCATTTGTTTTGTTTCTTAAATTCCACATATAAGTGAAATCATATAGTACTTGTTTTCTCTGACTTATTTCTCTTAGAATACTTTCTAGTTCAATCTATGTTGTTGCAAATGGCAAGATTTCATTCCTTGTGTATATATATATATATACACACACACACACACACACACACACCACATCTTCTTTTACCATTCATCAGTTGAAGGACGTTCGGGCTCTCCATAATTTGGTTATTGCTTTTTTTTGGGGTGGGGGGTGGCTATTGTTGATAATGCTGCAATAAATATGGCCTTTATGATATTGAGGTGTGTTCCCTCTAGCCCTACTTTGTTGAGGGTTTTTATCCAGAATGGATGCTGTACTTTATCACATGCTTTTTCTGCATCTATTAAGAGGATCGTATGGTTCTTATCCTTCCTTTTATTAATGTGGTGTATCATTTTGATTGATTTGCGAATATTCAACTACACTTGCAGCCCAGGAACAAATCCCACTCAACTGTGGTGAATGATTCTTTTAATGTACTGTTGGATTCAATTTGCTAGTATTTTATTGAGAATTTTTGCATTCATGTTCATCAGGGATATTGGCCTGTAGTTCTCTTTTTTAGTGGAGTCTTTGGTTTTGGAATCAGGATAATGTTGGCCTCATAGAATGAATTCAGAAGTTCTCCTTCCATTTCTATATTTTGGAATGGTTTGAGAATGATAGGTATTAACTCTTCTTTTTTTTAAAGATTTTATTTATTTATTTGTGAGAGAGAGAATGAGAGAGAGCACATGAGAGGGGGGAGGGTCAGAGGGAGAAGCAGACTCCCTGCCGAGCAGGGAGCCCGATGCAGGACTCGATCCAGGGACTCCGGGATCATGACCTGAGCCGAAGGCAGTCGCTTAACCAACTGAGCCACCCAGGCGCCCCGGTATTAACTCTTCTTTACATGTTTGATAGAATTCCCCTGTGAAGCCATCTGATACTGGACTTCGGTTTGTTGCGAGATTTTTGATTACTGATTCAATTTCTTTGCTGGTTATCAATCCGTTCAAGTTTTCTATTTCTTCCTGTTTCAGTTTTGGTAGTTTATATGTTTCTAGGAATTTATCCATTTCTTCCACGTTGTTTAATTTGTTGGCAGATAGTTTTCATAACATTTTCTTTTTTTAAAGATTTTATTAGAGAGAGAGAGCATGCACAAACAGGTGGAGACACAGGCAGAAGGAGAGGTAGAGGTAGAAGCAGCCTCCTGGCTGAGCAGGGAGCTTGTCTTGGGGCTCCTACTGAGCCACCCACATGCCCCAGTTTTCATAATGTTATCTTATAATTATTTGTACTTCTGTGGTATTGGTTGTTATTTCTCCTCTCTCATTTGTGGTTTTATTTATTTGGGTACCTTCTTTTTTTTATTGATTAGTCTGGCTAGGAGTATATAAATTTTACTAATTTTTCCAAAGAACCAGCTCTTGGTTTCATTGATCTGTTCTACTGGTTTTTTATTTGTTTGTTTCTGTATCATTTTTTTTTTCCTGCTCGAATCTTTATTATTTCCCTTCTGCTGGCTTTAGTCTTAGTTTGCTTTTCTTTTTCTAGCTTCTTTAGGTGTAAAGTTAGGTTGTTTATATGAGATTTTTCTTGCTTCTTGAGCTAGGCCTGTATTGCCATATACTTCCCTCTTAGGACTGCTTTTGCTGCTTTCCAAAGGTTTTGGACCATCATGTTCCTGTTTTCATTTGTTTCCATGTATTTTTTTTTTAATTTTCTTTAATTTCCTAGTTGACTCATTCATTCTTAGTAGGATGTTCTTTAACCTCCAAGTATTTGTGGTCTTTCCAAATTTTTTCTTGTGGTTGACTTCAAATTTCATAGTGTTGTGGTCAGAAAAGTTGCATGGTATGATCTTAATCTTTTTGTACTTGTTAAGACCTGATTTGTGACCTAGTACATGACCTATTCTGGAGAATGTCCCATGTGCACGTGAAAAGAATGTGTATTTTGCTGCTTTAGGAGAGAGTGTTCTAAATATATCCGTTAAGCCTATTTGGTCCAGTGTGTCATTCAAAGCCATTGTTTCCTTTCTGATTGTCTGCTTAGATGATCTGTCCATTGATGTAAATGGTGTGTGTTAAAGTCTCCTACTGTTATTGTATTATTATCAATGAGTTCTTTTATGTTTGTTATTGTTTTATATAAGGAACAAATAATTTAAAGCATCGCTCTGAATCTCTGTCTTGATCTGTACCTGGTGTCCTCCCTATATGTTGTTAGTGTCCAAATTTCCCCTTTTTATAAGGCACCAGTCTTACTGGATTAGGAACCACACTACTCCATTATGACCTCATCTTAACGAATTATATATGCAATGACCTGCAGTGACCCTATTTCCAAATAAGGTCACATTCTGAGGTGCTAGGGGCTAGCTAGGACTTTAAGGTTTGAATTTGGGGGAGGGAGGACATAATTCATCCCAAAATAGATGGGAAGCTTGTGAGGGGTGTGAGCAGAGGGAGAGGTGAACTGCAGAAGCTCATATCAAACTGTCACTCTTTCCTGGACTTCCTGTTTTCTGTCTTCAACTCTTTCCCCCTCATCTCTGTATAACTAAGATAGGGTTCCCCTCCTCTAGTCTTTAGAAATATTCTTCCCCTTAAAAATGGTAGGACTCTTTCCCAATGACTGTCTTTTAAAAATGGTTTGAAATGTATGGTCCCTCCTCCACACCAGCCCCCTGAAATACGTTGAAGAAGTTTGATAACAGGAACAGGGCTTAAGTTTCTGTTCTTGTACTATGATACCCCCTTTTCTTCCCTTTTACCAGTGCTAAATGTACAGTAAGAACTTAATCAAAAGTCTTTTAATTGAATTGAATTCAGATTATTTTTCCCCTCCCCCTACATTTAGCAACAAAATGGAGATTCAAATGCTTCAATAAATCATCACATTTTATTATTTCTTGTAAACAAAATATTTTCCAGAGAACAGCATTACATTAGCATCAGTGGATACAGTGAGATCAAGTTTTCTTAAAGTGCTGATTTCTCAGAAATGTATGTTTTCAGGTCGTTGAAGATTATCTGTAAGCAATTGGTCTTGGAAAGACATAATTTTTGAAGAACTCTCTTGCCCAATGAAAATGACTTAATATGAATGAAAAAAAATACATTGCTCCAGTTGAATTGACAATTGATATATCTCTACTGAATAATTCTAATAATGTTCTTACTTAAAAATTAAAAATTTACATATAGTAATATTACCAGTGTTCTTTCAAACTTGTTACTTTCTTGAAATTCACAGTTATCCCAATAACACTTTCAAAGTCCTAAGTATAATAATTGTATGAAGCCTCTGTTTAATTTTAATTTTATTATTTTTTAAAGATTTTATTTTTAAGTAATCTCTACACCCAGCATGAGGCTTGAACTCACAATCCCGAGATTAAGAGTCACATGCTCCACCAAGTTAGCCAACTAGGGACCCCTAAAGCCTCCTTTTTAAATGCCTTCTTTTAAAATAGTCATCTTTGGGGGCACCTGGGTGGCTCAGTCAGTTAAACATCTGACTTGATTTCAGCTCAGTTCTTGATCTCAGGGTCATGAGTTCTGGTTTCCCAGCATGGAGCCTACTTAAAAAAATAGTCATCTTTGGATTATTTTATGATTCAGGGTTTTGTGTCTGTTGATTGTCTCAAGCTACTTCACATAATGGTGGATGTATGATGAGTAAGGCAAGAGTGATAGGCAGTGTAAGAATGGATCACCAGTTATGTTCATTCTCAGGCCCTTGAAAGCATGCAAGAGAGAACCAGCAATTAGCCATCCCTCAAACTAGGTAAAAGCTAAATGAACCCACATTGGATGGAAACAAACAACAACCAAATCATTATGTCTTTGCTGACCACTGTGGTGTTTAATTAGCTCTATTTTAAGACTTTTCTATGCTTAGCCCTTTCTCTTTACACAAGGTGCAGCAAATCACTTCCTTATTAATAATGCATGTGTGGATCTTATCTTGGCTGTGTCTGTGTTACAGTCAATGGTCCAAATCATCAGTCACTGCCAACACTGGCATGCACTAGCTCACCACCCTCTTTGTTGCCCTGTTAACTGCTAAAGTAAGGAACTCAGACTACCAATGGCAGTGAGTTATATATCTTCATATATTGCCTTTGCAGTCTTTTCTAAAGCCTAATGTTTGTCTGTCTGGGACCCAAAAGACCTTGATCCAATAAAATATTAGCTTATAGTTTCCAAACAATTATTTCAACAGATTTAAACATTTTTTTTTTCTTCATATACCTAAACCAAAGTCATTTATACTGCACAAAACTTAAGCGTGTTAACATCACCAATTTATCTAAAGATAGTAAAACTTTTAAAATTTCTTCCTCTGGGAGAACCACCCAGCCCAAGGTTCTGACATGCATGGGAGGGAAAAATCAGTTCAGGAGCATTATGAAGTCAGTATTCATCATGAAATGGGTATTCGGGATGATCACACCACCTATCAAAACAATTCCCCAAAGGGAAAAATTTCACTGCAAATGTTGCACAGCTGTACGTATTACTAGCCTCCTTCAACAATTTCACTGATCCCTCCCTCTCTCCCTTATTCATTCCCTCTCTGTTTCTCACCCAATCTCTTCTGTTTTCCCTCAAGCCAGCATCTTTTACTGAAGCCCTGGACAGCACCCTCGGGTAAGAGTGTGTGTGTGTGTGTGTGTGTGTGTTGGAAGGTCTCTCTGCCAACATTTTGCTCAGAACAAAAGCACATGAGGTGAGAGCAATGCCTGTTTGTGGTTTTTCATGCCCTTTCTCAATTCCTTCCTCCCCTCTGCTGTTTTGACACAGGCTGCCTTCCATGTCAACGATCCACATAAGCATTTCTCTTCAAATTTCTATTACCCATCATTATCACTCTCTTCTCAGAGTTTTTAACTTGCCGTTCTCACTGGACCTCTTGAGAATTGAAAGTTTGAGATCTAGAAAGGTGATCAGTGAAGTAAGTTTCCACAATAATGATGATGATAATGAACCTATCCCTTAAACAACAGTGATGGAACAGTCAATAAGAAAGGATTGGCGTGTCTTGTACCTGCCATGGACCATGTCTAAGATTCAGTTCTCTGCAAGTATTAATGAGCTTTAAATTAAAATACAAAATAAATAAAGGCTCTTCAATGTCAAAGATCAACTGGATGAAAAACAGAGAATGGTACATTTTTTTTTTTGATAAATGAAGCCTACTGTTTGTTTCTCCTTGCTGATTTTTCTAGTTATTTCCTATGAGTTATTTTCCCAGTGTTGTGGGAATTAGGTATTAAATATGTCAAATTTCAAACTAAATATTGTCACCAACTAACTGTAAAAAAAAAAATCAGTACATTAGTGGTTTGACTGTCTCTTGCTATCTCTTCTTAATTTAATGATATTTATTCAATAGTAATAGTTCATCTTCAAGAGCTATTAATTAACCAGTAAGTGTTGGTTAGGTCTGTGTTTGTGTTTACCTTTTTGTTTCCAAGGCTAGGTAATACCTTTTGATATCAAATAATGTTTTGCCCTGGAAAATTCACATTAGGAGGCTGTTGTATTAATTCAGAAATTGATTTAGAAATTCAATATTAGCATAGTCAGTGTGCTTTTTGACTCATGAGAAATAGTGGGAACAATAAAATAAGTGTTCAAACTATATTAACTACCATAATGAGCATTTTCCAAATGCTCTCTTAGAGAGATTACAAACAGATTACTATCCAGGTGATTTTAAGAACTGGAAATAGTAATGAATAAAAAGAAAAAATGTGTATATATACATTATATATATGTATATATATATGTGAGAACCATATATATATGAACTGTAGTCTTTTGTTATTTTAAAGGCCCTATACTATTTAGAGAATAAAGGGCTACTTCTATTGATTAGCCGAATTTAGCAACATTTTGAAGGAGTGTAAGGAATTTTGCTGTGGGAAGTCAGCTAATAGGTGAAGTTAGAAGCTCCACATCTTACAGGCAAGCATTTGCCTATAACCCTAGGTTCTTAGCTTCTAATGTGGTACTCTTTCTACTATGTTCCCATGTCTCTTTCTTTTTTGTTAATAACTTTGCTCGAACTTGTGCAGCACTTTGATTTTTAGGAAAAAATAAATAGGTTAGAATATTTGTGTTGCTGTTGTATTAACATATATACACTATGACTTAATTCTCATCAGGTATTTAGCCTGCCATTCTCTAACCTAAGTCATGAGATGTCATAAATGCCAGAAATATTTTTAATAAAACTGTAGCTTGTAGAAAGTTCCTGGAATAAATGTAATTTACCCAGACCTGTTTAATACTCAGAACATGCTGCCTACTGGCCTTTACCCTTGTGATTTCTATGGACCTAGTATAATCCAATACCCCTGGGCAGTACTTGGTGAATGGTCCCCCCATACTCACATGAACATATCCACAAAGCGGACATTTTTATTCAAGCCCTCAATGTCCTTCATTTCTTCTTCAGTGAGAGAGAAGTCAAAGATCTGAAATAACAGAAATAAAAGACATTATTGAAGGTAGAAAATGGGTCAAGCCTGGGATCAGGGAATGGGACCAGCAGCAGGAACCCTTCAAAAATTTATGAGCATTCTTTTTTTTTATGAACATGTTTAAAAGAATTATTCACCGTGACCAAGTGGGATTTATTCCTGGGCTGCAAGGGCAGTTCAATATTCACAAATCAATCAATGTCATGTACCACATTAATAAAAGAAAGGATAAGAACCATATGATCCTTTCAATAGATGCAGAAAAAGCATTTGACAAAGTACAGCATCCATTCTTGATAAAAACCCTCAACAAAATAGGGATAGAGGGAACATACCTCAATATCATAAAGGCCATATACAAAAAACCCACAGCTAATATCATCCTCAATGAGGAAAAACTGAGAGCTTTTCCTCTACAGTCAGGAACAAGACAGGGATGTCCACTCTCATCATTGTTATTTAACATGGTAGTGGAAGTCCTAGCCTCAGCAATCAGATAAAAGGCGCCCAGACTGGCAAGGAAGATCTCAAACTTTCACCATTTACAGACAACATGATACTCTATGTAGAAAACCTGAAAGAATCCACCAAAAAATTGCTAGAACTGATACATGAATTCAGCAAAGTCACAGGATACAAAATCAATGTACAGAAATCTGTTATATTTCTTTTTTCTTTTGATTATATTTTATTTTTAAGATTTTATTTATTTGAGAGAGAGAACATGAGTGGGGGGGAGGAACAGAGGGAGAGGGACAAGCAGACTGCGCTAAGTGAGGAGCCTAATGCCGGCTTGATCTCAGAACCCTGAGATCACGACCTAAGCCAAAACTAAGAGTCAGGTGCTTAACCAACTGAGCGATCCAGGCGCCCCAGAAATCTGTTGCATTTTTATACACCAATAATGTGTATATATATATATATACACATTATATATGTATAAAATCCTTGATTTTATACATATATAATGCCTTTTAGTTACATTGATTGTTTCCTTCAATGTGCAGAAGTTTTTATCTTGATAAAGTTCCAATAGTTCATTTTTGCTTTTGTTTCCCTTGCCTCTGGCAACATATCTAGAAAGAAGTTGTTATGGCCAATGTCAGAAAGAGAAATCAAGGAATCAATCCCATTTACAATTGCACCCAAAACCATAAGATACCTAGCAATAAACCTAACCAAAGAGTGAAAAGATCTGTAGTCTGAAAACTAGAGAACACTTAAGAAAGAAATTGAAGATGACACAAAGAAATGGGAAAACATTCTGTGCTCATGGATTGGAAGAACAAATATTATTAAAATGTTTAATCCACCCAAAGCAATCTATACATTCAATACAATCCCTATTAATATATAATTTTCCACAGAACTAGAACAAATAATACTTAAATTTGTATGGAAACACAAAAGACCCCAAATTAAAAAAAAAAAAAAGATCCCGAATAGCCAAAGCAATCCTGAAAAAGAAAAGCAAAGCTGTGGTCATCACAATTCAGGAATTCAAGATATATTACAAAACTATAGTGATCAAAACAGTATGGTACTGACACAAAAACAGACACATAGACCAATGGAACAGAATAGAAAACCCAGAAATGAGCCCACAACTATATGGTCAATTAATCTTCAACAAAGCAGGAAAGAATATCCAATGGAAAAAAGATCATCTCTTCAAAAAATGGTGATTCGTTGGACCACTTTCTTACACCATACACAAAATAAATTCAAAATGGATGAAAGACCTAAGTGTGAGACAGGAAACCACCAAAATTTTAGAACACAGGCAGTAACCTTTCTGACATTGGCCATAACAACTTCTTTCTAGATATGTTGCCAGAGGCAAGGGAAACAAAAGCAAAAATGAACTATTGGAACTTTATCAAGATAAAAACTTCTGCACATTGAAGGAAACAATCAATGTAACTAAAAGGCAGCCTATAAAATGGGAGAAGATATTTGCAAATGACATACCTGATAAAGGGTTAGTATCCAAAATATATAAAGGCCTCAACACCTAAACAAATAATCCAGTTAAAAAATGGGCAGAAGGCAAGAACAGACATTTTTCCAAAGAAGACATACAGATGGCCAACAGACACATGAAAAGATGCTCAACATCACTCATCATCAGGGAAATACAAATCAAAACCGCAATGTGATACCACCTCACACCAGTCAGAATGGCTAAAATTAACGAGTCAGGAAACAACAGGTGTTGGCGAGGATGTAGAGAAAGGGGAACCCTCCTACACTGTTGGTGGGAATGCAAGCTGGTGCAGCCACTCTGGAAAACAGTATGGAGATTCCTCAAAAAGTTGAAAATAGAATTACCCTATGATCCAGCAATTACACTACTAGATACTTACCTAAAGGATATAAAAATACTGATTTGAAGGGATACATGCATCCTGATGTTTATAGGAGCATTATCAACAATAGCCAAGATATGGAAGGAGCCCAAATGTCCATCAACTGATGAATGGGAAAAAAAAAGATGTGGTATATATATACAATGGACTATTACTCAGCCATAAGAAACAATGAAATCTCTTCTTTTGCTATAACGTGTATGGAGCTAGAGAGTATTATGCTAAGCGAAATAAGTCAGTCAGAGAAAGACAAATACAAAGTGACTTACTCATATGTGGAATTTAAGAAACAAAATAGATGAGTATAGGGGATGGAAAAGAAAAAGAGGGAAGTAAACCATAAGAGACTCTTTTCCATAGAGAACAAACTGAGGGTTGTTGGAGGGGAGATGGGTGGGGGATGGGCTAAATGGGTGATGGGCATTAAGGAGCGCACTTGTTGTAATGAACACTGGGTGTTATGAGTGACGAATCCCTAAATTCTACTCCTGAAACCAATATTACACCGTATGTTAACTAACTAGAATGTAAATAAAAAATTGATACAAAAAATAATTGTTAGTTTCTTTCAGTTCTGTCAGATATTTCCTTTTAGTTCTTCATTTATGTTGAAGCTCCATTATTAGTGACATACACATAAAAGATTTTTATGTCAAAAATTTATGCATATTAATGATGTAGTATATGTTGGTTAATTGAATTTAAATAAATAAATTAATTAATTAAAAATAAAAATAAATTAAAAAATAAAATTATGAATATCTGCAAATGTGAGAGAAGTTGGGCTGGTGCTGGGGGCCACATCCCCATGTGGAGTTGGGGTTCTTCTGTTCTGCTCTTTGACTTTGAGACACTCCTGCTGGGGCCATCTTGCAGGACATTCCAAATGCACTGCAACAACATATGTTCAGGACACCTAAAATTCCAAGAGTGAAGAATTTTTTATTGTGTCTGGATGAGATGCTAAACCTCTGATTTTGGACTATGGCCTTTGTGCATTTGTTTTTAAAAATATTCCCTAGTCTCTAAATTTGCTTATGTATTTTTTTTAACTTTTAATTTGCTTTGTTTTATCCTCTTAAACATTTCTCTCATCATTTTTAATGTCTTCTACCTTTTAAATCTATTACAATTTCATTATTTTTTCTTAGCTTGTACATTTTATACTCTGGTTTTATAATTGTCCTTTATTAACATTTTAATATTTTAGCTTATTTACATTTTTAACATTTGGTTTATTTATAATGATCTTCTTTTACTGTATTGTTTAACTTGCTATCCCTTAACTTTTATTTTAATAATTTATACTTACAAATTTTAATTATATAAGTGATACATAAATATATGCTTTTTTGTGAGAATTAAAACACTACAGAAGTATATGGACTTGCATAGAATAATAAATGAAAGGCCCTCTTGTTACCCACCACTACAGTCCTATTCTTCTTCCCAAACATTCCTTCCAAACATCTAACACACTAAGAGCAAAATGCAATAATTGTATCATATTTTTATTATTCTGCAACTTTCCTTCATTCATATAATATGTCTCGGTGATCTTTTCTGACAAAATACTGACTTTAATTTAATCACTGCATTCATAGTATAGCTGTAACACTATTTACCTAATCATTCCCCCATGGATTTTGTCCAAGTGCTCTTTTCAGGGAATGCTTTTCTTTGATTATTATTCAAGTACTGAGTTTATGAGATTGTGAATCAAAACTTTGCATTACATAGAAACAGTCATGAATGACCAATCACTTATAAAATAAATCCTTACTCAAACTTTCTTTTTGCTTAACATTAGTCTACTTTTTAAGTATTGGTGATTCATTTTCTTACTCCAGTGAATACATAATGTAAAGTGAAGTTGTAAATCTTGCCAAAAATGCAGGATTTCATGAAGTCAATGAAAGTGATCTTGGTTTGCTTTAATTATAGGCAAAATGTTTTTCAAACAGGAATCTGATGCAGTTAAAGTCTACTTCAGTAGATATATCAAAAGAGTGTGATTTGGAAAAAAAATGAAAGGATTTATAATCTTCAGATGAAGTTCTGTGAAATTTTACCAGAATTATTCTTTTTATGAAAAGTTTAGCAAAAACTTTTGTGAAGTAGAGAACATCACATTCTGTTATCATGCAATTTTGTCAAGCGTATTTTTAAGTTTCTTCTAAGATTTAGTACACATACACAACTGTAACCTAAATTTTGTTGACTATAAAATAACTAAAATTATTTCATAATTTTCTAATTTTTTTTAAGTAGGCTCCACACCCAGCATAGAGCCCAATATAGGGCTTGAATTCATGACCCTGAGATCAAGACCTGAGCTGAGATCAAGAGTTGGATGCTCAACTGACAGAGCCACCCAGGCACCCCTTCAGTTTTAATTTTAAGGTAAACTTCCAAATTCTTCCTCCCTCCCTCCATTCTTTCTATGCAATGTTTTTCTTTATTTTATGTGGATTGATTTTCATTTTTTATGACACAAATTATCCTAAGTTATTCACTTATTCAGGATCTCACATAACTAAGTACCTGATATTCTGCCCCCCTGCCCCCCCAATCTGCTTCTCTTTTTTTTTTTTTTCAATCTGCTTCTCTTATAGTAAAGATTTCAAGAAAGAGAAAGTGTTAACTGTATTAAATGCTGTTGAAAGATCTACTAGGACAAGGACAAAGAAGTGATTATTGGATCTAGCAAGGTGGAGGTCATTGGTGAACTTGACAAGAGCTGTGTCAGGGTGAAACCTTAGTTTCAATGGGTTTAAGGGAGAGTGGGGGAAAGGGACTTGGACGTAGTGGGAATAGAATTCTCTTTTAAGGGTCTGCTGTAAACAGAAAGAAAGAACTGGATAATAGCTGGAGAAGAACGTGAGTCTAGATTGGATTTTACCTTTTAAGACTGGAGGTTACAGCATATTTTTATGTTGATGGGAGTTATGTAGTAGAGAGATAATGCAGGAGAGAGAGGGGGATTTTTGAGGGGTATGAAGGAGTTATTAGGTATTAGTAACTGCAGTTTCCAAGGAATAATAATGGGAATTAGTGGATGAAATATATAGGACAAGATCATTGTGGGGGAGGAGGTTAAAGAAATATCAGGCCAGGTTATTGGAAGGACTATCCATATGTATGTTGAATTCACTAAGAATTGTGACGGCAATAGTTTTGGAGAGAGGGAAAATGAGTAACCTTCAAGGAATGGGGGTCAGTGGATGATGGCAACAAGGCAGATAGTGGGTGGTAAAATTTGATTTTTTGTTGTTTTAATGTTAAAAATATCCTGCTTTTTAATTTTCTTCATTCTTACCTTTAATTTTATATAGCTTTTGTTTTTAATTTATGATTTAACTTTTTATTACATGATTTTTATTTCTATGACTTTTTCTTCTTTTATTGTAAACATATTTAAATTTCCCTTTACCCTTTATGTTTTGTGGACATTTCCCATTCTTTTAAAATACTTTTAAAGGTTTACTTTACCTTAGTTCTAAAAGAGAATAATTTTCTATTTTGTCAATTCTTGGTTTTAATACCCAACAAAATTTGTGGCTACAGGGCAAGTCTAAACCCTATCGAGTGGAAATTAGCTGTGATTTCCCCTGTCATTTTCCTTATAGATTTATATCTCTTTCATATTTTCTTATGGTATATGAACCTCTGAATTCCATTTCCTTATTATCAGGACTATGGAAATATATCGACTATAACAGAAATAGTTGCAATAACATTTTTAAGGAGAATGATAGTACCTTTACTACAAAATTGTGATTCACTAAATAACAAAGTCCAAAGGCTTTAACCTTCCATTGCACAGACTACTAGTAACCACTCTCATTTTCTGAACAGTAAAATTTTGAACCATGAAAATATTTGTTTCAGGTGCATCAAAACTTGTCTTAAATTTTGATGAACTAACACATTAGCCGTCTAGATAGCTTATTCTTTTAAGATGGCTGAAAACAGTGTGAACAAAATAAGAGGTGTTTTGTTAAATGTTAAAATGCTGTCCGTAGTGGTATAACTGTTTATCATTCTTTCCTCTTTTTGCTAATAACAGAATCCCCTTTTTCCTTTTATGAACTTATCTTCCACCATCTAGGAGGGCTGTTTGTCACATGAATTCATTTCCAGCACAGGAATAGGGTTGTAGCCCAGGGGGCCAATCAAAGTATCTTACTGGATACGGTGATTAATATGGGGGTGGTGCATGACCCACAAAGGGACAATCAGGGATTGATAGAGATTCTCACAGAAGCCTTTACCTGTGATCATCTTCACTGAGTATGAGTAATAGATTAGCCTGGAGCTGTCAGGGACTGTTTGGGTCACCATGTAGAGACAGAGAGAGTTGAGGAGGGAGGAGGGAGTGTGGAGGGAGGAAGGAACTCAGTCCTTTTATAAATCATTTGAATACCCCTGCCTGGTCATGCCTGATTTATCCATGGATGTTCCAGTTATATGGCCCAATAAATCATGTCTCTCTTTGGTAAGTTTGAGTTGCATTCTGTCACGTGGTAGCAAAAAAGCTCTGAAGATAAATTGTCTAATACCATGAATATCTTCCCATGAAAGTACTTATATTTTCACCCTATTATTTTAAAAGGTTATATAATATTTCATTGTACAAATATATTGTAATTTGTTTTACAAGATTCTACCGAAGATTGTTTCCAGGTTTTTTTAAAAATGATAAATCATGCTCTAGTAAATATCCATATATGTGTGCATGTATGTGTAAATACAGTATCAGGATTGTTGGGTCAAATGGATATGTGGGCTTGAATTTTGATGGATCTGGAAAAGTGACATCCGCTCCTTCAAATCTTATACCAATTAATGTTTCTAACAGGAGTTTATGAAAGTGCCTTTTTGGGTACATATTCAGTATTCTGATTATTTTCCTATCTGAGGGGATAAATCCTGTCTCATTTTTATTAACTTACTTTTTGAGATCATTAAACTTATTAAACTACTTATTTATATATTTTCTTAAATGAAATTATTGAGACAAACAACTTACTTTTTGAGATTATTAACTGATGAGTAATTAATTAATTTTGCATGGTACTTTTCTATGGCTGTATTTACCTAGCAGTTTAGCCTTGAGTAGTAGCAGAGTAAACTAATCACTCTTCTCACCTGTAAGTTATGATGCTGATCACAGATTATTTATAGGGGAAATAAAGGCAATTGGCATTCATGAAGCCTAATGATCCTCTTCAATACTTTCCAAATTTGTTCCTAACTTTTACCAGAGACATTAAGGAGGCAGAAAGTTTGCTATTATCAATTTCAGATTTTATACCTTCCATTCCTGCTGTTCTGTTGGAGAAGTGAGTAGGTAGTGCCGAGAGTCAATAGGTAAGGAAACAGAAGCAATAAGGGAGCTAGGTTATGTACAAGCAGTAAGGCAATCCCCCAAATGCTGGGAACTGTCTCAAATTCAGATATACAGAAAATTCAGATTTACATTCAGATATACAGAGTGTGGGTTGGGAAGCAGGTATAAAATAAAATATGAAGGCATTACAAGTTTCTTATTAATCTGAACTGGAAGTTCTCCAAACAAACAAACAAACAAACAAACAAAACAACTCTACTTTTTACATTTCCAGAAGCAGTTCTCTTACTTGAAAGTTTTCTTTGATCCTTTCAGGGTTAGAGCTTTTAGGAATAACAACCACTCCTCTCTGGATGTTGAAACGCAAAACAACTTGAGCTGCTGTCTTCTTGTACTTTTTCCCCAGTGCGTTTAGAAGTTCATCCCTTAGCAAAGGTGGGGAAGATAGATTCACCCTTAAAAAAAAAATCAAAACCTGCATCATATTTAGCTCAAGTAATAAGAACAGATGGTTAGTCAATCACCCTCCTCCTCTGTCTCCCCATCCACCTTGGTCACTTACCAGGACACTTGAGGTCCCCTGTAACCAATTTCTCAGAGTGCAGAGCACTCAGTGAAGAATTGCTTTTAGCATGAAAAGATCAAGATTTTATATGTCAGTTACATTTCAATAAAATGAATAAATGGATAAATAAAAAGAAAAGATCAAGAGAGGCAAACTGAAGGGGTGCCTGGGTGGCTCAGTCGTTAAGCGTCTGCCTCTGGCTCAGGTCATGATCCCAGAGTCCTAGGATCGAGCCCCGCATCGGGCTCCCTGCTCAGCGGGAAGCCTGCTTGTCCCTCTCCCACTCCCCTTGCTTGTGTTCCCTCTCTGTCAAATATGGTCATGGAGGCTCTTTGTCAAATATACCTAAACTAACATTCATGGAGCATTTCCTATGTTTCAGGCACTGTTAGGTAATTTATACATACAGTATAATCAATTCTTATACCACCTTTGTGAGGAAGGTTTCATTAGCTCCAACTTGTGTATATAGAGAATGGCTCGAAAGATTACTTTCTTAAAATCACAGAGCCATATAGTCATGCCAATCAAGTAACTCACATTGGTCTCATACTCGATACCAAAGGAAACACTGCTGAAGAGACATACAGCATTGCTTACCAGCTTGGATTCCTGGAGGTCCCCAGAGGGCTGTGTGCAATAATGACAATGTCATGTTGTTGGCAAAATTTCAAGAGTTTTGGCTGGGTGAAATACGGATGGCACTCAACCTACATGGTTGCATTGGAGAGCAGAGCACAAAATTAAAGCCTTGTAGGGAATGCAGTTTTTACACAGTTTTAAAAAAGTTTTTTGATAAAACCCATTTACAAGTATTATGGATAATGAGGCAAATGCTAAATATTGTTCCTAACAAGGAAGTTTTCATTGTTTATTGGTGAGATTAATTAAAACAAGGTTAGTGAGGTCACCATCTGTGGAGTAATTCTAAAATAAGTGGGGAGCAAATTCAATTTCGTAAAGTTATCATAGTTTAAAACTTTGAGGGAACAAACTTAATTATTTACAGTCACCATTCCAGCAAATACAATTTTCTATAACAAAAAAACAGTCTCAAGGTTCAGATTACAGTCTTGGTAAACAGAAATGACATGTTGCAGAAGCTCCCTCTCTGTAGCTATCAAGTATCTAAGAATAATTTCACAAGGGGTAGAGCATGTATAACATGAAATCTAAAGATGAATTTTGTCGTTTTGGCCGAGAGTTCTTTACACCACCCGGTGCAGGCCTACGTTCATCTTTAGTATCTTATAAGCAAGATTCCTGCACTAAAAATATTTGTGTGACAAAGTTCTTCTCAAAGTTTCTTCTTAACCACTATGGTAATTTTTGACCTATGCTTTTCTTACCTTTTTAAGTTAAAATCAACCAAGGCTGAGTTAAAATAATTGAAACATATATTTATTATCCCATTGTCTGGAATAGTGAGTATTTGATGAGTTTTGTTTCTAGAAGGCACAAGGATATGCTACTAATGAAGTGGCAAAGGTAAACTGAGCCTCTTCATGGTGGGTCTTCTTTCTGTTCTCTAATTTGACATACTTTTTTCTCCCTGATATAATCTTGTTCCCTTACCCTAAGAAACACTTGTGGGATTTCTTCCCCTTGGAACATTTCTTAAGTAATTCTAGAAAGTAACACACGGACTAAAATAAGGCAGGAATCACACTTCTTAGTGTTTCCTTCCTTTACCCTCTCCAACTTCCAACATCGCTCTCTACTTTTTCAATTCCAATCTTGTCTATTATTGGTAGACCAGTCTCTCCAAAACATGTATTTTATCACGTCATTCCACTGCTTAGAAACTAAGTATGAATTCCTTACTTTAATGCCCTCCTGTTCATTCCAAACACAACATTTCATTTTCCCACAAGGACTCCTTTCTAATCAGATTGGCATGCTGTTGCTTGTCTCTGGCCTATTAAATATGTAGAAGTGTGTATGTATATATCTGTATGTATATATGTGCGTGTTTATATACACATCAAACAGTTTTATAACCTACCCTTTGAAAAAGGACTTCATATGGCTTGTGACAAAAGGTATGAGTAATAAGGCTATTACAATTAGAAATAAAACAAATAGATATGCACATATCTGTGACTGAAATTTAGGACTATATAGAGAGTTGCCCTGGGCAACATACTAGAAACATCTGCTCGACAAAAGCTTTTGAGTTAACATATAAACTCAACAACATAACTTAAAATAATATAATATAAATCTTTGCTTAGACAATTGTTGGGTAAAAATTCCAGGGCATATCACTAAAGGGACAACCAGTGAGGGAAATTCTGGGGGTGGGAGTGGATAAGCTAATAAGATCCAAATGCATATGAACTCACAGAGAACCATATTCCTTCTTTTCAGAGCATTTATCTCAGTTTCTAATTATCAATAGATTTTGTGATTGTTTGATTAATGTGTGCTCCCCACTAGACAGCTAGTACTCCAAGAGGAAGGGTTGTGTCTGTCTTTAGTCACGTATGCATGCCTAGAACCTAGCAAAGTGCCTGGCATAAGGCAGGTGCTCAATGATTGTTGAATGAAAACATAATGATACAGAGAGGACAAAGCATCTTAGGAAGCATTACTGATGCTGCCGACTGTTACACAGGACTGCAGCCTGGTGGGGTCATTTCAGGCTAGTGAATGATCTTTGTTTGGTATGCTGGCACCGGATGCTCAGTTTAAGGTGGAAGGTAGTGATGGTTTCTGTTGTCACAGTACCTTGATGTCATCATTGCCCAGGAACTTGCTAATTTCCCAGGAGAAGCATATCTAAGCACGCTTGCTTCCTTTTTTGCTAGGGACTGGTTATAGCCCTTTGTGGATGGGCCAGTGGAGATGTAGTCTTTACTTTTTCTTGTTTACTATGTAAAATTGACATCATTGACAGTGTCTTGACATGTCTGGGGCTTTTACAACACTATTTGGTAGTGCAGAACTTCAGATATCAAAATCTCACAAGGTGAAGTTAAGCTGGACAGAACCTGTGAAGGAAGGCATTAACCCCATCCTGTGTCTTTCTGTAAAAAACGGTGTTGAATTTTCACTTCATTAAATCAAACTCAAAAAATATGTATTGATTCCTAAATCAGGACACCTGGGATTTAGGCATAGTGAATAGGGTTAGGAAAAACTGAAGAATTTGAAAATCTTTCCTTTCTCCCCACCTCCCTCCCTTCATTTGTTAGTAGAGTTAGGTGTGTGAGATTAAATAGCCTGAGGTAGATCCACAGTCTCCTTTGAATTAGGCTGGGAAAACACTGCTTGACAAATTGCCCACCAGGAAGGCTTTCAGAGAGATTAAGCCGGGGATGGAGCCTAGAGACACATTTGTTTAGATAGACATCATGGGTAGTACTAAGGAAGCTTGGAATGCTCAGGCTCTGAGAATGAGTATAGAGTGCCCACTTCATAAAGTCTATGTGCCCTTGTTCATAAAGTTTATGTGCCCTTGTTCATAACGTCTATGAAAAAATATAAAAATCTGCAAATTATACTTCAGATTTATTCTAATGGGAAAATTAGTTTTTAAATATGTGAATTTTGAATTTTGCAAGGTCTTCAGGTATGTATTCCTTATATATAAAATATGCCCACCCTCTATAAGGCCCACAATATGTCATCATGTTCCTGGACTGAAAGCTGTTTGAATGTGGGCACGGAAAGCTGCTCATTTTGTGTCTCTGGAGTAGAGGTAGTCCTACCCAGGGCACAGGGTAATGGCTGGTGGCCAGTAGACCTGCACTTGGATCTGTACCATCTCTAGAATATTGGTATATTCACCATGAAGTAAATGAACAAGCTTGGGATATGATTTTCTGACATGTCTTGTTTCCCTTGCAGGGTACGTTTGTGAAGCTATTCATGATTCTTGTGCCAACATATCAGGGTATTTCCTCCTTGGCATGAGGAGACACACTGTCAAATTCGTATTCCATTTTTTATTCTGAGGTCAAAAATCTCCATCCTCCTTTGTATATTTGAAAGAAGAAACATGTGTCATTTTAACTTTTTTTTTTTAAAGATTTTATTTATTTATTTGAGAGAGAGAATGAGAGAGAGAGAGAGCATGAGAGGGGGAGGGTCAGAGGGAGAAGCAGACTCCCTGCTGAGCAGGGAGCCCGATGCGGGACTCGATCCAGGGACTCCAGGATCATGACCTGAGCCGAAGGCAGTCGCTTAACCAACTGAGCCACCCAGGCGCCCTCATTTTAACTTTTTATAACAAAATATTATTCTTGGGGGTGCAGGAGAGGGACGTGCTGGTGAGGTTAGAGTAGGAATAAAGGGATAGATTGAGATCAGTTAGGAAGTCAAGGGTTGTTGCTATCTGCTCCTTAGAGCATATAGTATAGTGTTGGCTTAGGTGTCAATTAGGAAGTAATACTTCTAAATATATAGCAACACTTTTATTTTAGCTGGCTATTGTCATGATAGGTAATAATTTATTCTTTCTGTTATGAACTCAAGACAGTTTTGAGTTACTAAAAACAATGAATCAAGCAAACAAGTCAACCATAACTCCAATACGTGAATATTTACCCTAAGAATATTTTTTTTAAAGATTTTTATTTATTTATTGAGAGAGAGAGAGAGAGCATGAGAGAGAGGAGGGTCAGAGAGACAAGCAGACCCCCTGCTGAGCAGGGAGCCCGATGCGGGACTCGATCCTGGGACTCCAGGATCATGACCTGAGCCGAAGGCAGTCGCTTAACCAACTGAGCCACCCAGGCGCCCACCTAAGAATATTTTTTTAATGTAGCTTCTTAGTGTTTTATGAAGTAGGGTGAAGAGAGTATCATTATCCCCATTTAACAAGGTGGGTAACAGTATTTTGTTGTGATTATAAAAGTAACATATGCTCGTTACAGAAGATTTGGAAAATACAGGAAAGCATAAAGAAGAAAACAAAATTCACTTGTCATTCATAGCCAGAGATAGCCACAGTTAGTATTTTGATATATTTCTTTCCAATATTTTTTCTATGCATGTTTTAAAATAATACATTCACATCAATACTGAATTACATTTTGTATCCTGGTTTTTCCCCTTAATATCATGGCCATTGCTCTTTTGCTCAAAAATGATTCAAGAACATCTTTTATTAAGATTTTACATTACGGGGCGCCTGGGTGGCTCAGTTGGTTAAGCGACTGCCTTCGGCTCAGGTCATGATCCTGGAGTCCCGGGATCGAGTCCCGCATGGGGCTCCCTGCTCGGCAGGGAGTCTGCTTCTCCCTCTGACCTTCCTCCCTCTCATGCTCTCTGTCTCTCATTCTCTCTCTCAAATAAATAAATAAAATCTTAAAAAAAAAAAAAAGATTTTACATTACATGAGTTTTATAATTTATTTAAATATTCCCCCAATTTTTCATATTTGTGTTGTTTCCTTTCCATTTTTTTTGGCCTTTATAAACAGTACAGTGACAAATGCACATAAAGGCTTTCAGATTTTTTTTTCACAAGGATAAATTCTTAGGAATATAAGACTGTGAACATTTTTTAAGGCTCTTGACACTTATTGCCAAATTGCTTTCCAGTAAGGCTGAACAAATTTATACTTTCCAGCACTTTATCACTTGCTTATATGGAACATTATATTAAAAAATAAAACAAAAGCTTTGCTAATTTGATATACAATGCGAAATAATACTTAAATTTAAATTTCTGTAATTACTAGTGCAGTTGAACATTTCTCATATGTTTACTAGTCTTGCAATTTGTCTTCTCGAATTTCTGTTCACAGTTCTTTTGCTCACTTTTCTGTTGAGCCTTAGTGTTTTATCTTTGAATTTTTCATTAATTTTTATTAGGCTTTTAATTCATAAGGATATGATCCCCCTTTTCTATTATATTTAAACTATAATTATCCATTTTTTGCTCTTTGTTTCTAATATTTTAGAATTTAATGTTTTTATGCTATTAAATATGTCAATTTCTTTTGTAATTTTCCCATGGCTTCATTTTCTATCTATAGCTCTAGAAAACTAAAATCGTTTTGTAGTATGCACAAGGGACTTCCTCTTTCTTCTTTAACTCCTGATTGAAGAGATACTAGGAGTAGGACATGAGGCAAAGATCTGTATTTGTTTCTACATAACTAGCCATTTCCTCCACACTATTTCCTGAAAAATTCATCCCTTTGCCATTAGTTTGTGTTATTGTTTCTACATTAAGTTTTTATTACACTTGGGCCTGTTTCTAAGATATTTCTTATTTTCTATTAATTTGTATGTTGGTTCTTACACTAATCTTACATAATTTTAAGTGCTCTGTATATCTTAATATCTGGCAGATCTAGTTCCTCCTCATTATTTTTCTTCAAAAAATTTTTTGGATTATTTTTGCTTGGATTTGAACTTGCAAATTTTTTTTTTAAGAGACATAAATTGAGAGGTGTCAAAAGATTTGTTCCCAGGGTCTTATGACGAGATATATGTAGAGTGACCACAAGATTTCTGACTCCTAGTCCAGCGTTCTCCTGTTAAGTAAATATTGGAATCTCCTCCTACCTTCACAATCCCCCTCTCACCTCTCACCTCCCATCAAACTGTACCTGATTGCTGACTGGCTTATATTTGAGTCCTGGTTTGTTCAAGATGAGCTCTAGCTGCCTGCGGTTAAAATTGGATACTCCAAGAGATTTCACCAAGCCAGCATCTTTGCAAGCTTCTAAAGCCTGTTGAGGAAAAGTCAAGGGGTTAAGAAAAAAGCCTCAAAATAAATGATAATGTTTATGAGGGTGACTATGAATCTTTAAGAAGGAAAGTCTTTGGGTATATTAATAGGCATTCTGTGAAGAAAAAAAAAGTGAGAGAGGCAAGAATTCTATAATTGAATTAGTGTGGGAAGTATTATACAGCGTATCTTCCCTAGCATTTTCACAATGTATACCAGTCCCTTAAGAATGATCTTATTTCTTGAAATCTGTTGAGATTTGGTTTATAGCATGGTACCTGATCCATTTTCATAAATGTCTGGGGTGTGTGAATATGTATATTTCCTTTTATTGGATATAAATCTCTCCTCTTGCTCTGTACCTCTCTCTCATGCATATATATATGTATATATATGTACATACATATATAAACACACACACATTATATGCAAAATTAGGTCTAGCTTTTCCTGGCTTCTCAATAATTTAAAGGACTATGTCAGAAATTTCCCACTATATTAGAAGACTTTATCAATGTCTTCTTATAGTTTATCGACTTTTGCTTTATATATTTTGAAGATATTTTATATGGTACATATGTGTTTAAAATTGGTATATTTTCTTGGTAATTTGAATCTTTTATCATTATGCTATTTATTCTTCCCTATAAATTTTAGAATCAGCTTTTCAATTTCTTTTGGTATTTTGACTGGGATTCCATTGAGTCTTTCAATCAGTTTGGGGAAAATTAACAACTTAATGTATTCAGTCTTTCTATCAAAGAACATGATATATCTCTCAACTTATTTAAAGTTTTAAAAATTGCTCTCAGTAGTGGTACCTGGCTGGCTTAGTTGGTAGAGCATGTAACTCTTGATCTTGGGGTTGTGAGTTCAAGCCCCACATTGACCATAGAGATTACTTAAAAATAAATTGTTCTCAGTAATGTATCACATAGTTTTTACTGTTTAAATCTTGCACTGATTTTGTTAAATTTATCTCTAAATACTTAATATCATTTAAAAAAAATTTAATTTCCAATTGTGTGTTGCTAACATATACTTTATATATAAATACAATTTTTACTTCTTGTCCTATGGGTTATTTACATGTATGCTTTTTAGTTTCCAAATATTTGATGGTTTATCAGATTGATTTTTGTTATTGATTTCAAATTTAATTCTAATTTTATCAGACAGACTTTGCATAAAGAATATTATTAAATGTATTGAGTTTTTTTTCATGTCTCAGGCAATGGACTATTTTGTTAAATGTTCTATGTGCACTTGAAAAATAGCATTTTGTTATAGTTTGTGAAGTATCTATAAATGTCAATTAGGTCAAGCTGGTTGATAATGTTCATATCTCTTCTATAGATTTCCATCTACTTATCTCAATTATTGAGAGAGAGGTTTTGAAATCTTTGATTATAATTGTAGATTATTCTCTTTCTCTTTTCAGTTCTCTTCATTTAAGCTTCATGTATTTTGGAGTTCTGTTATTAAGTGCATAGATGTTTAGGATTGATCTCTTCATTATTATAAAATTTTGCTCTGAAATCTTTGCTGATATTAAAATAGCTACTCCAGCTTTCTTTTGATTACCATCAGCCTAGTATATCTTTTTTATCCTTTAAATTTTTTTTCTTAACCTTTTACTTCTAGCCTATTTGTGTCTTTTTATTTAAAATGGATTTCTTTAATATATATATAGTGGCATTTTGCTTTTTATCTATTCTCATAACCTCTGCCTTTTAATTGAGTTGTTTAGACTATTTACATATATTGTGATTATTAATATAACTGAGTTTAAATCTCTTACCTTGCTCTTTGTTTTCTATTTTTCCCATCTATTCATTTTCCCTCTTCTTCTCCTATCTTTTTCCTGATTTATTATTGTTTCTTCAATTTTTTTTCTTTATTGTCTTGTTTACTATACTCAGGAAGTTTTAACATTTTCTCTGTACTTTGATATTCTGAAATTTCACTGTAATGTATCTAGATAAGGGTTTTCTTTTCTCTTTGGTAATCCATGCCCTTCATCTCTTTTTTTTTTCTTCAAATATTACCTCTTTTTCTTTTTTATTCTGAGGCTCCTATTGTATGAATACTAGAAATTCTAATTTTATCCTTTACATCTCTTAGCTTTTCTTTCATATTTAAAAAATTTTCTTGTCCTTTTCTTCTTCATATTGGGTGGTGGGGCTGCTCATCCTGATCTTTCAGTCTGATAATTTTTTCTTTGTCTATTTCCATTCTATTTTTATCCCATTGATTTCACTGTTTTACATTTTTCTAATTATTATTTTTGCTTGTTTTTTAAAAAAATGTATTCTTGTTCTTGTTTCATATCACTAACACCTTATCTCCTTGAATATATTAATTGGCTAAAAAGTTAAAAATTCTTGGTCCTCTGTTCTGTTTATGCTTGGATCTCTAATTAAGATATGATGTTTCTTTGTAAAATAAATGCCTTGTAATTTGGGGCTGTGAACACATTTTTTTCCCTGGGGATACAGGCTACGCTCTCGGGCAATCCCTTGGAAAGGAACCCCAGACTCCAAACCTAGTCATCTACAATGAGGTCAGGAATGAGTGTATGGTCTCTTGGGTGGAAAGCCCCAGGCATCAGAAAACCCAATCAATGCCTCCTCACCCCTCAAAACAACTCCACAATTCAGATAATCAGCTATAACTACAAGGGGGATGTCCATTAGAAAGAGGTACTTGTTAGAGTGTAATTTCCCAGCCTTTGGAGTTTGGAATGGGAGAGGGAGGGAAACAACTGCCAGAGGTCAGATAGTAACTCATGTTTTTCTCAGCCTCTCACAAGTGCAGGATTTCAGTGCTACTCTGATTTGATTCCTGAAGACATCTGAACATGAGTCTTACATTTCTGTGTGTGTGGAGCAGACAATATTTGTTCCAAGGCTATAGCAGGAGAGAAGAAAAAGCCAAAAGAACTCTAAGGTCCTCTCCTATGTTATCCTCTTATAGCTTATTAGGCTGCCTTCTACTCTAGGTAAAAGCAGCCATATTACCTCATAAAGAAACCAGTTCAAAATATCTGTACCCCTCACCCCCAACATGAATCCATACAGGTTTTCTCATTACTTCCCCATCGTTTTCCTAATCTTATGATCTTGGGGAAGGAGCCAACAGCTTGCTCAAAATTGGAACCAGAATTATTGTTTCAGTTTTTCATGTATCATTTTGTTTCTTTTAAACATATTAATGATTTTTATAAATTCAATTTGAGAAACCAAAAATTTGTGAATTTATCACATTTATATATTTTTATTTACAGTTACATTAGAATTTATTTCCTTTCTTTTTCTTTCTACACTTCTCTCTCCTTTGGCATTCTTCTTTTCCATCAAAACAAAATCAAGAATTTTTCAGTGCAGAGAAGTCGGAATTTTACACATCTTTGCTTATGGTTAAAAATACCTGTTTCGAAATACCTTTCCATTAGGAGTAAAGGCTGCATCTCTCCATAAACTGAACAGGAAAAACAGTTTAAAAATACAGTCTTCAAGAAAAGAGGCCCATTTAAACTTACCTCCCAAGTGGCACACAGATTTGACTTGTGATATAACCATTTGCCATTCTCATCTTTAGGATAGATTTCATCTCCAGGCTACAAAAAAAAAAAATGAACATAACTTATTTTATCTATATCTGGGAATTAAAATTATGGAATTTGAGTTGTCATTATGCCATATACCCTGGCCCTGGGAAAGCAATTCAATTTTAATTATTTATATATTTACATATAATAAATATGACACATTAATCTCATTATCTCACCCTGGCATTCATTTTCCTTTATTTATTGACAGATTATTATTGTTCTTAAACCATGAAGTTCTGTCATAATGAAAGGAATCTGTTCAACAGCCTCCCACTCCAACCCCAGCCATACTTAGACACAAAACTCACAGGTGTCTGTACTTTGCCCTAACTCTGTTTTTCTAGGTCATTTTTGGAAAGTAGACCCCAACTACAAAACATATTCTTCTCTAGCCTGACCACAACCCACATCCTGGTAGAACCCTGGACAGAGCCCCTTGAAAAACCTGCCATCTCTTGTTCTACCTGGCCAAGAGTTGACCCCCTCCCCACCCCCTCACCCCCACCCATGGGTACAGCTATAACCCTCTCACATCCTTCAAAACCCCTTAAAAGGCCCAGCCTAACTGAAACTCAGGGCTGACACTTCTCTGGATATCTGGCTCCTCTCCTCCACTGGAGATTGAATAAACACTGTCCTGTTTATTGCTCCACTCTTTGCACAATTCTTTGCCACCCTCATCACCAGCCACTCTAACAATAACAAAATCACTCATAAATACACAGTAGAAGTTGAGCATTAGGACTTTTAGGTTCAGTGTTTTGACCTAACCCTAACCCTTGCCAAAGTTGAGAACAGCAAATTTCTTACTCTGATAAGAAACCAAAGATCATCATTAAGGGTGAGAGGAAGTTCTCCAACTAAGAAAAGTGTAGCTAATGAATGGAACACTTCCTAAGTATAAGGGAAAACTCAGCACATTACTTCTTAGTTCTGACGAATCTGCTCTGTGGTTCTCTTCTTTCCCTTTCCAGCCCTCCAGGAGTTTAGCATCTGTTTTTCTACTTCACAAATTGTTTCAGTATCAAACCTAGTTTTTGGGTGATCCTTTTCCAACTAAGACTGACCATTGGTTTTCAGATTTTTCCTTTCTCACTATATCTAAAAATGGGACCCATCTGTTATGGGCTTGGAGATGGCGGGATAGAGAGAAATAAAGATGATTTCTAGGCTCCTTGGTTGGCTGGTGGTGATCATTCCCTGAGTTTAGGCTAGCCATCAAGAGTTTTGTTTTGAATATTTTGAGATTGAAATGGCAATTAGACATTCACTGGGTATGTGAGGAGGCAATTAACAGAGAAGTCTGAGAGAGGCTCAGAGAGAAGTCTTGACTGCAGACAAATTTGGGAGTCCTCAGCATATAAAGTGGTATTCAATCCATGCAACTGATCACATTTAGAGAAGGTGTGGCCCAGTAAGACAATATTGAGGATAGAGTACTGGGCATTATGACATTTGGAGGTTGACAGGGAAGAAGCTGTCAAAGATCTTGAGAGGGTGATATCATAGAACCATGAGCTGAAAATGTTTAAAGAAAAAGGTAGTAGTCACCTGTATTGAAAGAGATCAAATAATATGGGGACAAAGTGTCTTTTAGATTTGGATGACAGGATGGAAGTCTGTAGGCCTTGATAATAGGAATTCTTTGTTGAAAATTAAGCAACTGGACAAAATCACTTATACTCTTAAAAATTTAAAAAATTCTTCCTCTGTCATCTCACTTGAATGAAACTTCCCCCTGGTGATAATATTTTCTCCATTGTCCTTTTTAGTGAAAACAATTTCTTTTCAATTCCTCCTATCTCACTGAGAATAGGAAAAGGGTTCCTTTTTCCTCAATGCCCCATAATCATTCATGTTAATTACCCTTTCTATCTCTGATTTCTAAGCTCTTTGACCTTCTCAACACTTATGACCCACATTTTCACTCCAGTCTTTCTCTATATTTCTTACCTTTTGTATTTCCTAGTTTTACTTCTGTTCTGAAATGCCTTTATGCCTCCATTATGAACTCTGTTAAATAATTTTTACTTCTCCAGATTTTAATTAAGTCCTTATCAAGTCTGCACCCATGTTAAATATTTCTATGATGCCTCCCTTAAGCTTCTGCTGTGTCTACTTTACTAATCCATTCATTCTGATAAACCCATTGTCTTTGTCCTCTATTCCTGCTCCTTACTGTAATACCTTGCTAGAAAAATAATCCAACCCTCTAGAAACCCATGCTATTGACTCTCATTCCTTCTCAGCAGTATCTTCGTTCATCTTTTAAAAATGTCTTATTGTGGGGTGCGTGGGTGGTGGAGTCAGTCAAATGTCAGACTCTTGGTTTCAGCTCAGGTCATGATCACAGGGTCCTGGGATGGGGCCCCGAGTCCAGTTCCACATGGAGTCTGCTTGAGATTCTCTCTCCTTCTCCCTCTGTTCCCCCCCACAACTCATGCTCTCTGTCTCTCTCTCTCAAATAAATAAATCTTTTAAAAAATTCCTTAAAGATGTTTTATTGTGATTTTTTGTATTTTGTTGTTCTAAAATTGTGTCTGCTTGTTAACTTGACATTTAAAAAAATATTTCAGTGCTAAAATATTTTAGCAAGAAAGGTTCCTTGTTAAAAAAAATCATGAGAGGGCGCCTGGGTGGCTCAGTTGGTTAAGCGACTGCCTTCGGCTCAGGTCATGATCCTGGGACTCAGGCTCCCACATCAGGCTCCCTGCTCAGCAAGGAGTCTGCTTCTCCCTCTGACCCTCCTCCCTCTCATGCTCTCTCTCATTCTCTCTCTCGCAAATCAATAAAATCTTTAAAAAAAAAATTAAAAAAAAATCATGAGATTCAAAAAGCATGTGATATTTTGGCTTCAAAGATTGATTTCTCAATTATAGGAATTATAGGTTCATGTGTGAAGTAATGTCATTATCCTGTGTCATTTCTCACTGTTAAAAGTTTTACTGTCTCTCTGCATCCTTGAGCCTTGATTCCACCCAAGAATAGGAGTGGAAATTCTCTGTTTACCTTTCCCAAAAAGATTTTACAAATCATTGGTCGGTCACAGAGAAGTAAGTTTCATTTTCTCACTTTTAGATATAGGCTCTTTCCAAATCTTTAAGACTTAGCTTAGAAATCTACCATTTGAACACGAATGAAGTTAGTTGTGTGAGGATGAGGGCTGAGGTTATAACTCTCAAGAACCTGAAATATAAAAAGTCACTATAGTTTACAGGGTATTGGGATTGCTAGGTTTGGGAGGACAAGTATGGGGGTTGGCATCTGGGAACCCACCATCTGGTCCCATTCTAATGAAATTTAAACCTGAGTGAGTTACTTCCTTGTTTGGGTCCTCAACTTTCTCTTCTGTGAAACTAGGTTATTGGGATATCTTATTACTAAGGTTCCCTTCCACCTAAACATTTCAGAATATTATCTTTCATTTATTATCTATAAAATGTTAGACTGTGCCAGTAATGTCACATATATAATTTTATGAGTCCTCACAAGGTAGTTGCTATTGTCTCCATTTTACTGATAATGAAATTGAAGTCCAGAAAGAACCAAAAAAAAAAAAAAAAAAAGAAAGAAAGAAAAAAAAGAAAAAGAAAAGAAAAGAAAGATCAAAGTGACTATTGCTAGTAAGCAATAAAGCTGAAAGTCAGTCCCTCTTCTGTGTGACTCCAAAGCCCATACAGACTTTTTCCACTGCACCATGTTTAGGTGATATGGAAAGAGATCAGGTAATAACCTGACCAGGTCATCTGGCTTGTATGTGACACAGCTGGGACTCAAACTAGGCAGCTTGCCTCTGGAGCACATGCTCCTTACCACTATGCTAAGTGGCCTCTAATCAATTACAGTAGAAATCTGTTATTTTGTTTTCTATCATACCTATGTGGTCTCCTCTGGAGGAGCTCTTTCCATGTTGTTTGGGTGGGCTGACCCAGCTCTTATTCTTGGTCATAGATGTTAGTCAGTCACCCATTTGGCCCTGAGCAAAGATTAGTCGGGAATAGGTACAAGACCAAAGGAAGGCTAGTCAGTATTTCTCCAGAGGTTTAATGCATGGTCTCTCTTTGAATTCTCACATTGTGTTGACAGTGTAGGCTTGGCATGTCAATGGCCATTTTGCCATCATATAGAGAAGGATTTTTGAGAAGGAAGCCAACCAAAACAGAGATAAAGGGCCAGTTTCATTGTTTGACCTTCTGGATCCAGCTGTGCCTAAATTAGATATCCCCTGGAATTCTTAACTCCCTTTCTAGCTAACAACAAATTGAGTTGGATTTCTGCCATTTATAACAAGTTCTGACTAATACAAAGATGTTGGGGTATGGCGAGTAATGGGTCAAAAATGGGAAATTGGTTAGGTCAATATGGGATTGTGGACAGTGAGAAGTATCCTGCCTCCAGCTGAGAATTGGCAATCCTTGTTCTGCAATAGCATAGAATCTGTTAAATTTTTGCTTTGTTCTGTCTTGAGACTCAGACAAATGGGCCTACTAATGTTGGAGCTTTAGGGGACTTAGTAGAAAACCACTGGGTATTAGAATTTGTTGGCCATTTTTTCAGTCATCAGGTAGGTCTTGAAGAAAGATGTGTTTGTTGCTACTGGGCTTGTAAGATGAGAGGTAAGATGCTATTTTGCTAAAAAGGGTACTCTGTACTTTTGGATGTCATCCAAGATGACAGAATTTCAGATCTAAGCCTTCTGGAGATAGAAAAGTTAGTGATAGCCAAGGCAAGAAGGTAAAAATCCTAGAAGGAAGTAATGTTGGACTTTGGGAGAATTCTGGTTGTGTCTGAAGACAAGATCTCAGACCACAGATGCCCTACTGGACAAAGGTGCACCATCCAATGAGATGCAGACTGGGTGCAAGGAACACATTAGCTGTGCCTGCCTGTTATATATTATTTCAAGTCAGATGGAGGTCAGTAAGCTGAAGATGGGGCAGATGAGTAAAACAAGGAAGTTCTTTACTAAGAGACAGAAACCATAGGCCACAGGTTAGATATAGGAAATGTGACCCTATTAGATTTCTAGCTTTAATTACTCATTCATGGACCTGACTGAATGTGAATTTACTGAAAGCCTATTACATTTTAAGGGATATTGCCTTATCCATGAAATCTCAACCTGACCATAAAAGCCTATGATTACCAAGGCCATTGTGAAGCCCCCAAACCTATATCTACATGAAGTAGGAGGCAAAAGGGCAATCTTTCCCAAAGTCCATCTTGGATGTGACCACAGAGGAGAGCCAACAAAGAAAGTGTTTCCAGAGAACAGAACAGGGGAAGCCAGGTTGGCTGCATAAAAGAATTCTGGCCACTGTACAATGGCAGAGTCTTTGTTCTTCATGACTAGCAGCAGGATCTGATTTACCTTGTGGACAAGTGGCCAATTTTATTTTTCAGTCTCTCCTACCCTCAATGAAATTTTAAAAAAGTGACTGTTCTTTAGCAGTGTATATACAGGTGTGTTGTGGGTGGTTAAATTAACAAGTACATAGACTGAGAAAGTTCAAAGAAGGAGTGAATTTGAACTAGAGGAATAGATATCACATAGATGCCCTGATCTTGGATCTGGCTCCAAAAACCCGACTATTCTTTGGGTTATTTCTTTTTGGAGGGGGTGGAGGGTGAGTAAGTTTTCAGCTGTATATATTATGTTGCATTATGTTCTGCAGGGACATTTTCATGACTGTGTGAACAGGAAGAAGGGTTTGTCTGAATGCCAGGTAACTAAAATGTAGAGTACAGGTAGGGAACTACATGTCGGTTTGATGGAGAGACAACTATAGTTGTAAAGACCAGACATAATAGCAGGTGCATTGGATTATGAATCAAGAAGCTAGGGTTCCAGGCCTGAGTCTGTTACACATAATCTTTGTAGACATCTGTTGGGGTTGGTCAGTATTATCTGATTTATAGCAACAAAACACCTTAACACTCTATGGTGATAAGTAATAAACTAGCTTCATAGCTTCACATGCACAGCTACAGGCTCATGGTTGACAAAGAGCAGAGACCTAACCTTTAGGCATCTGAACTTACCTTGAGAGCCATGGGTATTTCAATGATGTAAAGATCCACATAATCTAGCTGAAGGACATTAAGTGTCTTCTCCAGGGTTGGACGGACCATCTCTGGCTCATGCCTTGTAGCCCACAGCTGAAAGAATAAAAAGGTGATAGTTAACTAACATCTACACTTTTTTTTTTTATAATAATGAAACCCTTTAGTCTTAACAAAGCACTCATATACATTATTCACTCATTTCATTTTACAAAAATATCTTTATGCTGCAGTGTCATCTGGGTATAGGATGAGCTCATATAACTCTTGACACCTGGAGTATACTTTATCCAAAAATAGTACCAGAGACTTGCAGATCCACCTGAAGCACAGAGTACCTAGGTCGGTGACAAAGTCTTGCCCTGCTCCCTGATAACTTCTGAACTGACCCTCAGCACTTTCACTTCTCCTCATTGTATAGATAGGGAACATGTATCTGACTAGCTGGTTGGGCTTAGCGCTTTATTTTCATGACACTCTGATAAAAGATGTGCTTTAGCGGAACAAGAAATATGGTTGTGGGAGTGAATTCACTGGATCCTTCACCTTGTGACAGGTGGTGCAGAAGTTGGTGAAACTTTAAATTATTGCAAATGTTTAGATTTTCTGTTCCTTTGTTCTCATTTGGTCCTACTCAGAGCCCAGGGAAATTCTGCCAGTTTTTACTAAGAAATTACTGGCTCTCTGGCTAAACTGGTAATGTCACCAAAATAGTGGTGTGGAAGACATAGTCTGGTCCTCTCCAATAAAAGTCAGTAATTTGACAGCTATCCACAGATGAAAATGGGGAGATGGTCAAACAGTACAAACTTTCAGTGATAAGACGAATAAATTCTGGGGATCTAATATAAAACATGGTGATTATAGTTAACACTACTATATTATATATTTGAAAGTTGCTAAGAGAATAGATCTTAAATGTCCTCACCACAAAAAGGAAATGGTAATTATGTGATATGATGGAGGTGTTAGCTAACACTATGGTGGTGATCATTTTGCAATACATAAGTGGATCAAATCAACATGGTGCACACCTTAAGTTTACAAAATGTTTTATGTCAATTATACCTCAATGAAGCTGGAAAAAATAAAATAAACTTGGCTTAACAACAACAACAAAAAAACAGAAAGAAAATGAAATTACTCAATCTGTAAAGTGTTAGGTAATGAAAGATTAAGGCTTAGGTTGTCGGACTAGAGCATGTGTACCCTCAAGGTCTCTAAAGCATAGGGTACTGAGGGATCCTCAGAACTTTGGGATAAGTTAATACATCTTCTTGGAGCATCAAATTTGTTCAAAGTGTTTTTGGGGAAAAAGCTTACAGTTCTGTACCCTTTTTCTCACAAGGGCAAGCAAAATTGGTAAAATTTGATTTTTCTCTATGTTGGACAATAATTTTTTTTCTTGCCTTAAATTCAAAAAGAATAGACAACAATGTGGAAAGAGTAGTGGAAAAATGTGTTTTTGTCATTACTGTGGGACCCTTTGGTGTGTTATTGCTGCCATCCCATCTAGCTGAAAATTCTGTTTTATACATTTTAATTTATTTTTATTCAACAAACACATATAGTCCTAGCTCTGTGCCAGGTACTATGTTTAAGTGCTTTGTAAATGTTAACTTATAGCAACTTTATGAAATAGATGACTTAATTTGGTTCCATGTTTCCAATATGATAGATATTGCAACAGTGTTAACTGTTTACCAGGGGAGGTAAGAAAAGTTTTTTGGTTTGTTTTTCTTGGTGGTAACTTAAAAACCCAATTTTTACATTGAAACAAAATGAAACAAATGAGAATATATTATGGGGGGAAATGTAAAAGTCTGAAAAAATTTTAGGATAAGACATAAATCTTTTTTTTTTTTTTTAAGATTTTATTTATTTGAGAGAGAGAGAATGAGAGACAGAGCGCATGAGAGGGAGGAGGGTCAGAGGGAGAAGCAGACTCCCTGACAAGCAGGGAGCCTGATGCGGGACTCGATCCCGGGACTCCAGGATCCTGACCTGAGCCGAAGGCAGTCGCTTAACCAACTGAGCCACCCAGGCGCCCTAAGACATAAATCTTTAAAAATATTTCTCGCTTCAGGCAGGCTGCTTTGGCCTGCATTCTCAGGATCTGAGTTCAAGATTATTCTTCACCAGAAACATTTTGGGAGCACCAGGTTAAGGTTTGGTGTTTACTCTAAGGAGAGACTGTAATAATAAAATCTTAAGGAATAAAAATTGTAAAGCTATAATAAAGTAAAAATCTTCAGGCTGATATTTTGGGGTAGTGGCTATATGTGGCCCGCTTGGAATCATAATCCATAAGTGGCTGGAGACCTGGGGAACCACAAACTCCTAGGGAGCTTGGCAAGGAGGCTGAATGGGGAGCTGGGAGGAGGGGGTGTCTGGGGGAGTGAATGAAGTCAGAAAGAGTATCTTGGTCTCTTTTAGAACACTCAGGAGAATTGTATTACACGTTCTCCAAAGTTGTACAGCTTTATTTCTGCAAAGCTGTCTGTAAATATGCATCCTGTATTTCCACTGGCTTGCATTTTAATCACGATGCTTTATCTTTCTGATTGCTCTATAGTGAATAGTGATTTCTAATGTTCGAAATTTCATATGCTCAAAAGTAGAGATATAAACAAAATGTCATATGTCCACACAATAGAGTATTATTTGGCCATAAAAAAAGAAATGAAATTCTCATATATGCTATAACATTAATGAACCAAGAAAATGTTACACTAAGTGAAAGAAGCTAGATACAAAAGGCCACATATCATATAATTCAATTTTTATGAAATGTCCAAAATAAAAAACTATAAAGACAGAAAGCAGATCAGTAGTTGCCAGTGACAGGGGTGGGGGGAGAGAAGGAAAAATGGGAAAAATTGGAGTGATGGAAGTATTCTGGAATTAGGTAGTAGTGATGCTTGTGCCGCTTTGTGGATACATGAAAAGCCACTGATTTAAACTGATGAATTTTATGGTATGTGAACCGCAGCTCAATAAAAAAATTAGCGATCTATGGACAAATAGGCATAGAAAAAAAAAGAAGGCTGCCCTTTTAAAGAAAGCTTTGGCAAATGTTTATGTAATATGAACCACCTCCATCCACCCTCTCTTGCCTCTACTCCCCAATTTTTCTGCTTTGTAGATTTGGCTCTTCCCATATTGTCTTAAATCAATGCCCATGTATGAAGAAGGAGCTTTGCCCTAACTTTCAACAGGCTAATTAATCAGTCCCTGAATTCTGGGCAAGAATGAGGAATTTGGGAGTTGAGAACTCGCTCTTCTTGGTGAGCCCAACATTCTTTAACAAAGTGATATAAGATCCATTATTAATATAAGGAGTTGGAGGGTGAAGGGATGATCTTACCTTTCCACAGTAGAAAATATCCTCCCTCCGCACCTTTCCTTCTGCTATCTTCTCCCTGATGGCCTCCCCCACTTCGTGCTCATTCCGGTAGACGTAGGCCCCGTCAATGTGCCGGTACCCTGAATCAATGGCGATCTTCGCTGACTTCGCACAGGTCCCCTTAGGGGTCTGAAATGGCAAAGGGGTTGTTGTAGGGAAGAGAAGAAGTGGATCTTTCCTTAATCATTCTTTTATTTTTATTTTTTAAATTTTTAAAAAGATTTTATTTATTTATTTGACAGAGAAAGACACAGCGAGAGGGGGAACACAAGCAGGGGGAGTGGGAGAGGGAGAAGCAGGCTTCCCGCCGAGCAGGGAGCCCGATGCGGGGCGCGCGATCCCAGGACCCTGGGATCATGACCTGAGCTGAAGGCAGACGCTTAACCAACTGAGCCACCCAGGCACCCCTCCTTTACTTTTTTTTTTTTTTTAAGATTTTATTTATTTATTTGAGAGAGAGAGAATGAGAGAGAGCACATGAGAGGGGGGAGGGTCAGAGGGAGAAGCAGACTCCCTGCTGAGCAGGGAGCCCAATGCGGGACTCGATCCAGGGACTCCAGGATCATGACCTGAGCTGAAGGCAGTCGTTTAACCAACTGAGCCACCCAGGCGCCCCCAGGCACCCCTCCTTTAATCATTATTCATCAGGCTACTCTGCACATAGACATTGTTTTGCAACAAAAATGACAAATTCCCAATTACATGCTGTTGTGATTGGAAGATGATGTCTGAAGGCTGAGGACACTGACCTCACAGAGAGTTTCCTTCACACCCTCAGTGGGGGACTCCTTGCATACCAAGTCTGCCCTAGCTTTGTGGCCTCAGAAACATAACTTGATCAGTTTTACCAGTGACAAGAGATTTCATAACAGCTATGTTATAGGAAGGCACAAGTTCATTGAAGAAAGCTCCATTATAAATCAAAGTTTTGGAAAAACAGAGATACATCCACAGAACGGAATATCATTTAGTAATAAAAAGATGTAAAAACTGTAACTTTTTTGTTATGTAAATGTAAATTTAAAAAATACATGAAGTACTGCTATAGCCACATGGGTGAATATCAAGACAATTATACTAAGTGAAAGAAGCCAGATGAAAAATATATTATGATTCCATTTATATAAAATGCCAGAAAATGGAAATTAATGTATAGTCCAGATGCAGAGAAGTGATTACCTGGGGTGGGGGACAGAACAGGCATGGAGGCAGGGATTATGAAAGAACACAAGGAAACTTCTGCAGTGATGGATATGTTCACCATCTTGATTATAGTGTTGGCTTCATGGGTGTACATATGAGTCAAACTCAACCAAAATGAATACTTTAAATATGTACAGTTTATTGTATGTCAACTATTCCTCAATAAATTGGGAAAGAAGAGTGTTGGGGGGCATGTTAGATTTTCAAGATATATTTTTATCAAATTTGTTAGCCAAATCTTTGTTTTATTAGCCTACATGAAGCATAAGAATAACATCTCCCCTGGACATTGACAGAACCAAAAGACCTGACAAACTCTTGACACTGGAAGTATAAGTTATCCATTCTTCAGATTGCACATAAATTGGTGCTCTTTAGTTAGGATGACATTTTAAATACACATGAGTGTGTCTCACTTTAGTTACATTTTTTCTTAAGGAGAATGGAAGACTTGGGGCGCCTGGGTGGCTCAGTTGTTAAGCGTCTGCCTTCGGCTCAGGTCGTGATCCCAGGGTCCTGGGATCGAGCCCCGCATCGGGCTCCCTGCTCGGTGGGAGGCCTGCTTCTCCCTCTCCTGCTCCCCCTGCTTGTGTTCCCTCTCTCGCTGTGTCTCTCTCTGTCAAATAAATAAAAATCTTTAAAAAAAAAAAAAAAGAGAGAATGGAAGCCTTGATGGATATTTCCATCAAGACAAGCATCTAGTCTCGCTGAATAAAATGTGCAAATTATCTTTTAGGTTGTGTGTGGAGGAGAGGATTAATCTTATTTGTAGATTTTAATTGACCTCATATTCAGATGGTGACCATTCTGATCTTGTTCACAAATGTTGAGAACTACTTGTGCTTGCTTCTATATCTTCAGTGTTCTAACCAAATGCTTGACAAATCTCAACAGACCTGTGAATTCTGGCCCATAGAAATTGATTTATTGAGAATGAGTGAGACAAGAAATCTCTTGCATTTCTAGTGACTTTATAGTCCAGGGCTGGAAATAAAAAGCACTAGAAGCATAAATTATATTTTCTTTCCCTACTTCAGTTGAAAGTCATCACTATTGAGAAGATAAGAGGATATGAAAAATGAACAAATTGGCTACACAGATGTTATTAGAAAATAGGATTCATAGTCACAAATATCAAATAGCTAGGAAAAGAGACACACATTCCAGGAATGTCAGAAATACCTCTTTGGTTTCTTAACTGACAACATGATTAATAGAGCTTGAATAGAAATTGAGGCCAAAAAGCCCCACAAAACACCCTGTAAAATGAGATGTTATGGACAACAGCAAGTGTGACAACAAAGGTATACTGGAAGAGGAGGCTTGGGGTAGAATCCAGAAATTTAAGGGAAAAAAATAAAAATACTACTTCCATTATCAGGTATATACATAGTATTAATGAAAAAATAAAGCTTCATATGAAATGGTAAAGCATAACCTCAGAAATAGCACTGAGATTTTGTGAATCTGGAATTGATAAATGTAAGTATAGAACTCAAATAGATTTAACACAAGGGGAAAACCCCAAAACAATGCATATTAAAGTATATACTTATATTTTCAAAGATCAACCCAAGACAAGAGACACAGGGGAGAACATTTAGGATAAAGAAGATGAGAAAGACAAACACTAAATTAGGAGCGTGGTACTGACCCTTAGCCTGAAGTAACATATGAATGATGCTTTATTTCATAAAGACATGGCACAGAAGCAAGTTATAGTAGTGAGTCTTCTATTATTCAGCTGCCATTAAAGAGCCTTTTCTAAAAGCTGAGTATCTGATACAGTCTTTGCTTGCTAAAAATATTTTCCCTCAGATGGCAGAAGCAGCAATGAGGTGAATTACTATTTTGGACTTAATTCTAATCAATATGGAGGAACTAGTTGGAAATGTGGATGTGAGAAAAATGCTTCTTTATAATTCTTAAATGTAGCATAAGAGAACTGTATGTACATTCTGACAGATTCTTTAAGAAAATTCACTTTAAGGAAAACTCAGAAAGATAAAAAAAATACCATATTTGGAGACTTAAATAAATGATATGATAGTAGAATCTTAAATGCAAAATTTTGACTCCACCATTAAGGATGATATCAGTGAAATAAAGAATTTTGTTTCCAAAAATAGTCAACAGCACCCTTCCTCCACTTAAGAAAGGGGAGAGTCCTATGAGGATGTGGTGCCATCTTCCAGGATGTAACACATACCCTAGGTGAACATCCATTATATGGTGTTGTGTCCCCAATAAGTCGAATACACAAGTCTGAAAATGCAGTAGGAGTGGTTCAGCTTAGCATTACTCCCTTTGACTCACTTAGAAAATGAGTACTTCTCATCCCTGAATTTGAGGCTCTGTGGATCCTTGTTCCTAGCCTTAGTTCCCAGGGGAACCCAGACTCCTTATTTCAAGAGTTCAGTATTTGAAGAAAGATGTTGCCATAGTGTCAGGGGTAAGTGACTTGATCCCAGGAGGAGATAGGGTTCCTTCACTGTTACATGATGAGCCAGGGCGGAAAACATTGGGCACTGAGGCCATCCAATGATATACCCCTTCCCACTTTTGCTAGTTAATGGATAAGAGTAGCAGCCATGATCCTAGAAGGATAAGTGGACCAGAGACTCAGACAACTTGAGAGATGAGGATCTAGGTTATAATATTTCATAAGCCACCTAGATCAGAAGAGATGTTGGTTAAGAGTGAAAGAAATCTAGAATGGGTAGTCCAGGAGGGAGATAAGTTGCAACTTGAATATAGCTTTGGTGGCAGGTGCTATTTCATTCTGTTAACCTACCCCTTTAAAAACTTTACCAGGAGAGAGACCAAACAAAATTCTGGAAGTTTTCCCAGGGGTGAACTTAGCATACAAAGCCAGTACGTTCACTGTTGGTGGGAATGCAAGCTGGTGCAGCCACTCTGGAAAACAGTATGGAGGTTCCTCAAAAAGTTGAAAATAGAGCTACCATATGATCCAGCAATTGCACTACTGGGTATTTACCCCAAAGATACAAATATAGGGATCCGAAGGGGTCCGTGCACCCCAATGTTTATAGCAGCAATGTCCACAATAGCCAAACTGTGGAAAGAGCCAAGATGTCCATCGACAGATGAATGGATAAAGAAGATGTGGTATATATATACAATGGAATATTATGCAGCCATCAAAAGGAATGAGATCTTGCCATTTGCAACGACGTGGATGGAACTGGAGGGTATTATGTTGAGCGAAATAAGTCAAACAGAGAAAGACATGTATCATATGACCTCACTGATATGAGGAATTCTTAATCGCAGGAAACAAACTGAGGGTTGCTGGAGTGGGGGGTGGGGTGGGAGGGATGGGGTGACTGGGTGATAGACACTGGGGAGGGTATGTGCTCTGGTAAGCGCTGTGAATTGTGCAAGACTGTTGAATCTCAGATCTGTACCTCTGAAACAAATAATGCAATATATGTTAAGAAAAAAAAAAGAAGAAGAAGAAGAAGGTAGCAGGAGGGGAAGAATGAAGGTGGGGAAATTGGAGGGGGAGACGAACCATGAGAAACGATGGACTCTGAAAAACAAACTGAGGGTTCTAGAGGGGAGGGGGGGGTGGGAGGATGGGTTAGCCTGGTGATGGGTATGGAGGAGGGCACGTTCTGCATGGAGCACTGGGTGTTATGTACAAACAATGAATCATGGAACACTACATCTAAAACTAATGATGTAATGTATGGGGATTAACATAAGAATAATAATAAAAAAAAAAGACAAAGCCAGTAGGTTCAGTTGGCACCAGGGGTAAACTGTAGTGGCTGTTATGATGTACCACAGGATAGAGGCACTCATTTGCTCAGCTGCCACCAGTATTGGCTGCTGGTTACTCACATCTGATCCCCTCTATGAATGATACAGGGTGTAACAGTCTGGCTCCCTCACCTCAACTC